AAAAAAAAAAGAAAAAAGAAAAAAGTGAGAAACCTTTTGTATCCGGGGTCCTTTATCAAAAGATTTACGAGACGCCAAACTGTTAGGGCAGTAATTATAGCCCCCATAAATTTAATTGCCCTGCAGTGGCTCTGGGCCATGTGTCTTTGAAGCTTTTCTTCTAACCCAAATGCCCATCACCATTTTTTATTGCTCCTCGATTGTCCCCACTGTCGATAGGCTGGGAAACAATTTTTCTTGCCGTTTATGTATCTTATGTGAACCCGGTGTCAAGTTATTATATAATGATTATGTTCCATCCCTTCCCCTCTCCTTCTTTCCGCGTGTGTATGTGTGTGCCTGTGCGTGCATGTTTCAGTCAATCCCAATTACAACGGAGGGGAGCCCAAGAGGTCTCGCACTGCCTACACCAGACAGCAGGTCCTGGAGCTGGAGAAGGAGTTTCACTTCAACCGCTACCTGACCAGAAGGAGACGCATCGAGATCGCGCACACCCTCTGCCTCTCCGAGCGCCAGGTCAAAATTTGGTTCCAGAACAGGCGCATGAAGTGGAAGAAAGACCATAAACTGCCTAACACAAAGATGCGTTCCTCAAACCAGTCCACACTGAGCCAGCAGTCCAAAGCACAGACACAGGGCCACCCCCATCCACTCGATGGGGCTACACCCAACGCAGCTGCTCTATAAATACGGTTTTTGGTTTGAGTCTTTTTGGTCTTTTTTTTTTTTTTTTTTTTTTTTTGGTTGGTTGGCTTTTTTTTTGGTCGTTGTTGTTGTTGTGGTTTTTAAAATATATATATATTTACCTATCTATTGGGGTTTTCAAGCTGCCTCGAGGTGGAGGCTGGCCTTTTGGACCAAACTGTGTAAAACAAAACAGGAGCAGAAAAGGAAGACGAGACGTGTCCAAGAACGGGCACATGTTTAAACCAAAACCCGGACGATTGTCTACATTGTATATAGATAATGGTTCCATGCCCATCATTTTTTTCTATTTATGGAAACGCTCTCTTGCCCTCGGTATAAGAGAGGGATGGATGCTGTCATGGACGAATTCTCTGTACCTAAGATGGTTTTTTTTTTTTTTTTTTTTTTTTTTTTAGGGAACACGTTAAAAATAAAAAACATTAAAAACAAAGTAAAGAGCTCGTGAGACACTTGTGTAAGGCACTGACTTGAATAGCGCTGTTTTGTGGTGTGTTCATGGATTTCTCTGTGTGTGCTTGTGTGTGTGGTGGTGCACAGGCACGTATACACACACAGACCAACATGGGAGAATGAACACGTCTACAAGAGGTTAAAGACTTATGAAAAAGTCCCCTTACGCTGTCTAATGGAAAATGTTTTATGTATCAAAGGTAACTTAACTGGTTTTAAGTGTAGCCCCCTCAGTAGCTGTGATCTATTAGTTTTTCTCCACATTCCCTATTGCATTTATTTAAAGAAATATTGCTATAAAGGCTGTTGCTGTCTTCATATTTGGCACCGTCTAAGTAGTTTGAGTCCATGTACAATTTGTGGATTTTTGGTGTAATGTATAACAGTGCCAAATGCTAGTAATAAAGATTATTCTGTACAAAAGAATTAAACGCTTGAAACACAAGTCCACTACGTGCTGTTTCATCCACCTTGTGCTTGGCTGGTGTTGGCATCAGAAATGGAAAAGAACAGTTTAATGCATTGGTTTGACTTGGATTAATCTTGTCAATAAGGTAATGGTTATTTTAAACGTGGCGAAAAAGCCCTTGACTCCTACTTGCCTGGCAGGGAAAAATTGCATTGCAGGGCGAAGAAAGGTCTTGCTTCATTGTATAGGTGAGTGGTGCTCTCTTTAGCTGACTTAGACAGAATGAGTCTGACTCCACCGCTGTCCGTGTGACTGTTTTCAGCTGCCTGACAAGAGAAACTGTGCTTCTTCTGGGAGCCAATAAGCTCCCATGCCGTGATAACACTTTAAATCTTTAGCCAGTCCTGGTTTATTCATTCATTTTCGCCTGATTATGATTTCTTAGCTGGCTAGCACTGTTTAAGGGGAATACTTGAACGGTAACCTAAAATTTCTTTTCAAGCTGCCTTTTCTGTGTATACTTCCTTTTGTTTTGTTTTGTTTTGTTTTAAGATTATTTCAAAATGTGCTGAGAAAGCCTTGGTAGACGCATGAATTTGGATACAACTCATGAGGCTTCTTTGACCGAGATTGTCACAACTACTGTGGCAAAATGGAATTCAGCTGGTTCCAGCTCCGGCTGTGCATCTTCCTGCTTCCAGGCAGCTAAGGAGTTCAGGCAAAACAGAACTGCTAATGGAGAGCCCTGCTTGGGGCTTTCACAACACGGTGTAGCACTGAGCTGGGTAGGAAAAATCTTGGAAAGGAACTCAAGTGCTACTAAATCTTCCAGGGAAGATGTGAAGGCCAATAGTTATTTATTTACTCACCCGAATGCATACAAGATGGATTATTGGAATCAGTGCTTGTCTTCACCTAAGTGAGGCTGCCAGGACCAGGGGGCATCATCATCCCTGGCTGAGGTAGCACCAGGCTCCAAAGGTTGTGCCAGCATCCCTGCCTAGCCATGGAATATGTACCATCCCAAAGAAAAATGTAACGTGCCACTGGCAGAACACATTCAGCATCAGGGCGGTGGCAGCTGCAAACACCCACAGCAAACACGGCTGTCCCCATACCTGACTAAAGAGTAGGCCTGAAAAGCACACTTCTGCTCGCATATTACTGTTTACTAAATCCTGAGTCACCAGTTATCTCCTTATAAAGGGAAAAAAATATATAGCTGTATGTCAGGTAACTACTATCCGCAAATGTGTAACTCTTCATTTGGTTTATTGCCTGAGAATCCCTCAATGTATTTAGAGCCAAAATTAGCACAACTGAGCAAAATTCCAGCTGAAATGCATTAACTGGCAGTGCAGGATTTCTTTAGTGTGCAGCCTATGCGTATAAACCTGGTTTACTCCCATTGTAAAAAGAAATGAAATCACGCTGCAAATAGCAATTTTAGCGAGAATCATTAATCACCTCCTACAATAAATACTTCTTTGTAATTCAACAGCGGTTCTGAAAGGCATTCTCTTGGAAAAGTCTGTGAAGACGCAAAGGATTTTCCTGGGGGAAAAAAAAGTGGTCATGTGTAAAGACACAGCATCTTGGCTGTCTCCTAAAAAAATGTACATTCTCTTGCTGGAGATTGAACTGCGGACTGCAAAATACCCCATGGCCGATTATCATCGTTTAAGGTAAATTCTCCTTCCTTCTCTTTCCCTTCTGCTTCTGTTGGGAGTAGAATGCTGCTCCCGGGCTCTGAGCCCTCTGCTGCCTGTCCAATACCTCCCATCTTTAGAATAACCTCCAAAATTACATCGTCCTGTTTAAATTCTCGCATTGTGCTCCCTTTGCTAGGGCAACCAGGAGTTCACCGAGAGGACAAATTTTCTATCCCATTAATTGTTTTTTTTAGAGGGGCAGACTGACCCTTCAAACCCTTGACCTTTAAAGACAGTATTCTTTTTAATCCGGCACTTGGACCTAAATGTCTCCCCCCCCCCCCCCCCCCCCCCCCCCCCCCCCCCCCCTCCCCCCCACGCTCTCCCGGTGTCTCTCACACACGGATTTATCTGCTTTGGTCACAAAGGCGAGCACAGCTCAAAACGCTGGAAGTGGAAGTGTGTCAATATTTCAAAGAAAGACCAAATCACCTCGGAGTCAATTTGCTGTCAGCAGGGAACGCCACTCTGTTAACCCCGGCACCCATCTCCCCTCCACCCACCAAGAAAAATACTCCTCTGCCGAGATCCCCATCCTCGTTTCTCCTGCAACCTCTTGCTATACCTGGTGTTTCATTACAGGAGGAGCTGAACTGTGACAAGCGCCTTGTGGTATTTAATGACCAGGGCCATCCTGCATCGGGGCATTACGCAATGCTAGGATTTTTTTTATTTTATTTTTTCCTTTTTTTTTTTTTTTTTTTTTTTTTTTCCCAGGGTGCTTACAGTCCCAAGTCTTCTTGTCCCGTGTTTGTAAACGAGGAAAGGGTGGGGGGAACCCTCACACAGGCGGAGATCCTGACAGGCCCGCAGTGAAACTCCGGCTCTCCCGGCCCCCCCGCCTCGCGTCGGGGCCGCACTCGGGCAGCCCGGGCTCGCCCGCCGTTCCCGCGCCTCCGCCCGAGCCGGGCGAGCGGCGCGGCCGCGGGACCCGCACGTCACGTCCCCGAGGAGGCGGAGGCTCTGGCCGTGTCCGCAGCCTCGAGGCTTGGCCGGGCCGCGGCGGGGTGGGACCCCGGGGTGTCGCTCCAGGGCTGTCCCCGGCTGCGCGGCGCTGCGCGGGCGCCCAAGCCCGGCCCACGCGGGTCCCGGTGGGGTCGGAGCTCCCCGCGTGGGCAGCGGGAGCTCCGCGGCCGCCTCCCTCCGGCCCCGGGCAGCCCCACTGGCTCCGCCCGGGCCCGCGGACAGGCAGCACTCACCCGTGGCGGACAGCCCGTGCACTGCCGCCCTGATGCTCTCCCGTCCCCCTGCCAGCAGCGCAGAGCCCCCTCCCCGCCGCAGACAATGACGATTTGGGTTCAACTGATTCATTTGGAGTTGGGGGGCCGGAGGGTGTAAAGCTGCCCCGGTTCGCTGTGCAGAACGGGACAAACCCTTGTTAATAATGCCCCAGAGCTCTCCCTGGAAACTGAGGAGCTGTCAAAGGCAGTAGAGATTAGGGGACCCAACTACGAGCATCCCTGCTCTCGCAGATAAAGGTGTTGCGTCTGTTCTGGGCGAGATATTGAAATTTTAATCTTTATGGTCACGTGACTCATTAAATAATTAATGCAGATAGTCAGGAATGGATCTGTGGCCGTCAGTCCTCACTAGGAGTGATTCTCTCAGAAGTGAAACTCAACTCCTTGTTACTGGAGTTTGTTTTTCTTTCCTTCTTTCCTTTTTTTTTTTTTTTTTTTTTTCCCTTTTAAAAAAGCCCACCTGATTTATCTTGAAAGATTCTAAACTTCTTAAGCAAGCAATAGGGTCTGTGTTGGTAAGTAGGTAGTGTGTATTTCTAGCTTGATGACTTTAATTGTTTGTGCTTGCTTTGTCTGCTGAGCATTTGCTTAACAAGTTTAATATTTAGAAATGTTAAATCTTTGTTTTAGCTGCCTTGTGGTCACATTATGGCTTTTGGTGATTAAGTGTTACGGAGGCAAACACACTTGATAATGTTCTAATTCACACTGTGGAAAGCTGGGTGCCACAGTGCAGGAGGACCTGCTTTGTTCAATTTTCCTGGCGTTAATAAATCACCGTCTCTTAATACATGGCCAAAAAAGCAATGGAAAGGCAGTGAGCATTGCAAAGGAAAAGTCATGGGCGAATTTCTCTATGACTCATTAGTCTGAACGATTTATGTACGAACTTAGAGTGCCGCAATGAATATTAGAGCTTGGGATAACAACAAATTAAAAAAAAAATTCATAGTTTTTGTAAAGTGCTTTATTGCTACTTAGCAACTCTTTCAAGAAACAACGTACTCTTAAAGGACCGTGGCAGTGTAAAATATGGTAGCGTGACCTAATAGCTGCAAAATAAATAACATAAAGTCGCTGGCACCATTTTCAGATACACGCTCCATATTTAACACGAGTGGGACAACCCAGTCACGCTTGATCGATGATTATTGCTGTTTGTAACATGATTATTGATTAGGGATCAAAACGGCTAAGGTACGACTTTGAGCCTAAAATGCCGGGGGGGTTCCCCCTGTGCTGAAGCCGAGTGGAAGGAAAGGTAGAGCTAAGGATAACCCCAGGAAGCAGCGCCCGGGCTCTCTGATTGCAGTTCGAACTTTCTATTTTCTTTTGTGTTTGCCAGTAGATTTTAACAGTCAGCGCTTGCAAATTTATGAGACAGCAATAAACAGTTTAGTAGGCTATTATTGCATGCTTTTATGTAGACTGGAGTTCAACACCAAATTTAAAATTATTAGCGTAATTATGGAACTACTAAATTAGCAAAGCAAAGTATCTGCTCCAAAAGTTGTCCCAAGACAGACTTAATATTTCCAGGGCTCAGATAACACCCTTCAGCTAGAATGGTGTTATTTAATTATTAGCATTTACATTTACTGACGATTGTAAGATGCATTAGATGGGTTTTATTAACAAGACTGAATACAGGGGTATATTATTATATCTGACAAATTCATATGTAAAAGTGATTCAATAAGTGGCATGCAAATAACCTGACTGTTGT